CCCCAACAAATCTCTGATTTGGGAAATAGAATTCCTTGTCAAAGGATGTGTTTTTGGCAGTATTGAGCCAAGGTTTCTCTAATGTTAGATGTTAAGCAAAAGAACATATACACAGAAACTCTAAAGGACTAGAAGCATGTGTCTTCCACACAAGGGGCAAAAGGATGAGAAGAAAGTACCAAAAGGAACATATTATTTTCTGTTATAAAAAGAAAAGAAAAAAAGCAACTCAAGAATAAAAGATGAAAAGAACTAGTGAACAAATTTCAGTGGAATGTTACTATCACATTCCTGAATGGTCTACAAAAGAAAAAGCAGACAATTAGATCTACTTAATTCCTAATTCTTGCAAATCTACATCACAAACCCAAAAAATTAAGACTCATTTAAAGCTAACCAAGTGGGCAATTAACAGCTTGTTGAAGCCATCAATCAACAAGAGATGTGGGAGGAATTTAAACAGATGTACACACTTTCAATTCTCAACTTACAATCTTCTTTTCTTTACTCCCCAACCCCCAATCTAGTGAGAGAGAAAGATTACAGTCATTCAAATGAATGCCATTTTTTTTTAGTCATTCATATGTGTTAATATTTGTGCCAACTAAGGAGATGGATGTATAGTTTCATTAAAGTTATTATCAACTGATAATGAGAATTAAAATCTGTCATTTTTTAGACAGGGATGATGAACAGCAGAGGCCCTCTGCATGATGTTCAATTCCAACCCCCCACCATGACTCACTGTTTGCCATGCAGGCTAGGCCTGATAGGAGCTGAAGTCCAGCAACATCTGGAGGCTCAGAAGTTCCTCAGCTGAAGTGGAGCAGCAGAGGTTGGTGTTATTATTGATGTTATGTGTCTTCAAGTAATTTCCAACTTATGGCAAACCTAAGATGAACCAAACCTATCATGTGGTTTGCTTGGCAAGTTTCTTCAGAGGGGATTTGGCACTGTCATTCTTTCAGCCTGACAAAATGTGATTTGCCAAAGGCCATCCAGTGGGTTTCCATGGCCAAGCATGGATTCAAACCCTATTTTCCAGAGTCATAGTCCAATGTGCAAACCACTACACCACACTGGCTTTCATAGCAGAGGTACTAGCCCCTTAACTATTTCTCATACCATAGTATTTTAAAAAAATAATCTTATCTAAATTGATTTCATCTACACAGGGGAAGAAATATAAAGGGCTTCAGAATCTTTCCTCTCTAAAGATGATGAACACAGCTGGAAACATTTTTTGAGTGGAAGACTGCAAGAAGGGAAAGTGTTAAGTAGACGCTTCAATTCCTTTAGTGCCATCTGAAGCCTATCATACTACCTTTTGACTTTTTTTCATTCAAAAAAATCACATCTAGTTGGGTGTGCTCTATAAAACTATAACTCAATCTAGAAGGTTCCTCTCATTTATTTATTTATTTATTGGAAGAAAGTTGAATGTCAACTGTTTCTTGTTTGGAATTTTCATGGCACATTATATTGTTTTACATATTCCAGCCAGGGCCTTACCAGTGTGAGGATCTCAGTGTCATATTGTATAATATTGTCAAAATGTCCTTTTGTGTACAATACAAATAGGAGCATGCTATTATGAAATAATGTATTCTTTATCATAACTGTTCAATAATGTTTTTCATAAGGAATTTTTAAACATGCATACACATTATATTCTATAATTATCCTCTTTAAAATGCTGGGCTTTAATGCCATTATTCCAAACTGTTAATTAATTGTCCCCAGAGAAGTACATATTAATTTATTGTTTAGGGCAGTGATAGGCAACCTTTCCCCTTTAAAGGCTGAGGGACTTCAACTCCCAGAAGCCTCAACCATGTTGGCCAATAGTCCCATGTTGGCCAATAGCTCCTGGGATTCTGGGAGCTGAAGTCCCTTGGCCCTTAAAGGGGAAAGGTTGCCTACCCCTGCTTTAGGGTGTCTTTAGCACAAAAGTTTTAAAGAAAACTGGCTCTCTATATTTTCATGATAGTGAAAATAATTGTAATATTATGTAATATCATAGTTAAGGTGGGACTCACATATCACTACAACCCTAAGTTGCATTTGGCAATTTTCTGTTTTCGTTGAGGTGGATGGGTTCTAGAATGGATCCTCCATGAAAACGGAGGGGTGACTGTACTAGAAAAAGTTGTGATGTTTAGTCTTGCTTTAAAAATAATATCATATAATGATGTGTAAACTTGGTGAAACAGACTTAGGTCAGAATACATGTGAAATCGATAAATACATTGGAATTCTTTTGCTGGGAGCGCTCTGCTAGCAGAGGCCCATGTTTGGTAGGTATATAGTTTTATGTTACAATATCACAGCTCAGAAAATATACCTTTAAGATCACAATTCCCAGAATACTGCAGCCAGCAATGTCTAAGAATGTCTATAGGGGGAAGCAGACGGCGCTTTGCGCTGTTTTGGAGGCAAGGAAGGGGACGGGCAGCCTCACTCTGGGTGCCCCAACTCCTTCCCGAACACGTCATCGGAGCGCCTGTCGCTCCACATGATGGGCACTCCGATGATGTACTTCTGCCACTGTGGCGGAAGAGACGTTGAAGGTGCACCCAACGCCTCTTGTGGCACACCTTCGGCGCCTTGTGGAAGAAGCACTATCCTTGTGGGAGGAGCACTATTTTGGGCCCTTCCAGGGCCCAAAAAGAAGTGGATTGGGGCCGAGGAGTGAGGCTACCTTGTCCCCAATCTGCAGCTTCTTGTGGCGGCCCACATCCACCCATCTGCTTAGGCCCAAAGTCTAAGAATTCTGGGAGTTACAGACCAAAAGCTATCCTCTCCAAGTTCTGGAATATTTCTTGTTACTCATAACTTGTTACTTATGCAAACCTCAGCCACTTCATTTTTAAAGTAAGTCATGGATGTGTGTTTTCTGGATTCCTGTTTCTCTTTATGTAATGAAAACATATGGGCCAAATGCTTATACACAGCACTGAACAGGTATTCCAATCATTACATTTTAGAAATAAATCTGTTTTAGTTTTTCATCTATTGTTGCTCCACCTTTTTCTCCATTCAGATTTCAAGGTATTGTGTGACAGTTAAAACAAACATGATTTCTAGTCTTGTGGAGAAGAAAGAAAAGAAACAAGCCTAAAAGTAATCCAAGTAAGTTATTTTAGACTGGAAAGAAGAAACAAGAGAGTGATAAGCATTAACTGCTGCTGCTCCCTTTTAACTCAGTCATTTATTTACAAAATTCATATTATATGCCAGAGAGAGCTAACATGGTGGAATGGTTTAAATGTTGGACAAGGACTCCAGAAGAATAGATGTTGAATTCCCATTCACACATAGAAACCCACTGACTGACCTTGGACAAGTCACACACTCTCACCCTCAGAGAAGGCAACTGAAATATCCTTCTGAATAAATCTCACCAAGAAAACTCTGACATATGTATGCCTTCAGGTTACCATAAGTCAGAAATTACTTGAAAATATACAGAAGCAGTATTATATGCCAGAGTTTGGAAAACCATGAGCATCAAAACTAGGAAAGAGCTGTAGGAGTAAACGTGCAGAATGTAAACCTGTAGACAGTGATGTCATGTGACAGCCCATCTTAAAAAAAATCCACAACATGTTTATCTCCCCCAAACACTGAAATATCAAATAAATAAATAGATTTGACTAGATGTTGCCACTGATGAACAGTAATGCTTGAAACTTTTAGATTAAATGACTGACATTGCCAATACAGCTACAATGAAACTGTACTTGCCACATCTTACCTTTCAGAGTGAAGCTACTGTCCATAAGACTCATATTGTCTTGATGATACTATCATTCAGGCATATCTGACTTCCTTTCAAACTCAGTGTTTTCATGTTAAAGGCTGTTTTTGTTTGTTTTTTTTAAAATGACACAAAAGCATCAGCCTATCAACTGCAATGCAAACAGACTTCAAACAGACATGCATTGAAAATTAGGGGGTGATGTGGTCCATATTGGGAGAAAAATGGAATAAAAATCAAAACAAATTAGATATATGGATGGCTATCATCTCCCTGAAAACTTGTTCTCCTCTCATCTGCTAATGTGAAGCACTGCAAATGAGGAAAACAGACAGAAAATAGCCATACATCTTGCCCCACAGCCCCATTTTAGCTCAAGATTATCTAAAACTAATTTAAGAGCCAGGTCAAAATCAATAGGGCCCTCCCAGGGCAGAAGCTGAGTTCCATTCAATGCACACAGAGACAGCTGTGTTCTTCTAGCCCAATGAATCCAGATGGCATCCAGAGTGAAAGTGTCAAAAGCTGGAGGGAAAAATTGCTCTTCAGATGCTAGCTGTTGCGTGAGAAAAAGCCTTTCCTAAGAACCTAAAATAAAACTCAAATGGAGCAGAGAACAGGCCTTTCTACAGACGTCACAAGAATTATCATGGCCCCAAACCTTAAAGAGTACATATGATTTCTCCTACTCTTGAAAATGATTATGATATCCAACCTCCCCTCCCCAATAAGTCAATTCACATATGTGACCTGAGATCCAACACTACACTAGCATACTTTATTCATGATCTTGTAGGGATAGGGAGGCAGAACAGGAGGAGAAGATTCTCAAGTTTCCTAAATGCCACCTGTTTCCAGGATGTCAAGGGTTTCAGAGAATTGACAGAGTCAAGGCATTATGGGAGTGGTGGCTTGAACTTCATGTGTCCTGTGTTTTTTCTTTTGCAATATAAAATTAAAATCTGCTCCCAAGTTCTAGATATAGATTATAAGGATGTTGCCTTATAATGGAGGATAACAATTTGTCCTTTGGTTACATATCATCTCCAGGAGCTTAGATTTTTCACATAATCTGTTATCTGATTCTTTGAGTAACAACCTGAAGGTGATGGGGACTGAATTTGGGTTCTTCTGCATACTGTGCATCAGAGTTTGGGAGTTACTTTTTTATTATAATAAATTCATATTTTGCATTAGGGTGCTAAAAGAAAGGGTCACTTGCTTTTGTTCATTACTATGTTTCAAATGGTAACATAGTTGTATTACTTGCTTTTTAAAAACACTGTAGAATTAATGTGAATGATATAAAGCCTGAAAAATCACACTCAAAACACCTCTAAAGTACCTTCGAAAATTGACTAGGAGACACTACTCATTGTACCACACAACAATAACAATAATGACAGCAACAATGTCATTCCTATTCTATTTTAAATGGAACCTTGTTATGCCCTCATTCCCAAGGAAATAACTCATTATGGGTAACTGTGTTACTCATAACTCATGATCTGTATTGAGGGCTATTTATTCAAAAGTAAATCAATAAGGATGAAGGGAAAGAAATGAGAATGTGTAATAGATAGAATGACAAAATGTTTTAGAAAGGATGGCAGGACGTTGATTAAACCTGGATGTGATATAGCCCTCCTTACAATGCTATTTGAGAGGATATTTGAGTTATATAACTTCATAGTCTGTGCATATCTCTGTATAAAATGGCCAAAGAAGAGTGAAGAAGAATTTAAGAATGGAGGTTTCCCAAAGAAATTCAATAGCATGGGTTTTTCAAGAAACTGAATTATAATGTTGCAAGAATGAAGCATGAGAAGCAGCACAAGAAGAAAGATAGACCTATCAGTGTATACACAAAATTATATAATGCACAAAACAATTTAAAAAACCCAACTGCAAAGGACTATGTAATAGATTTACTGCTGATGTCACACACGGCTAAATAAGAACATGAGAAGAACACTACTTGAACAGACAAAAGTTCAATTTTATTCCAACTTTCAAAAATGGCCAGCCAGACAACTTCAGAAACGTTACCAGCAAAGCATGAAAGGAAATAGCTTTCTGTAAAGTTGTGTATATTATTTTGGTTTTAGAGATACATAGCAAATTCCCTTTAGTTGACATGGCTAATTGCTGTTCTGTTCTCCATAAATTTGTCTAATTTACCTTTTTAGCTGTCGCTTAATAGCAGCCCACAATCTGCAACAGTGGTCTCAATTCAAATTAGCAGAATGAGGCACTTACTAATCCCAGTCAGGCATGTAGTATTTCTCCATCAATGACTATAATCATATATTTTGGTAATGAGC